TACGGTAATAGGCGAGTTCCCGCCCCGCCACTCCCCTCCGCGGTGATGTCACCGAGGGATATCGCGGTCGCTAGGCAACGCGAGTCAACAGCGGCGACGTTACGGTAGTAACAGCGGTTAGCTCCGCTAGCGTTACATAGCAACACAGCGCCAGGCAACAAGGGTGCCTATTACGTGGCCGTATTGTCCGATCGAGGTTACATAAGGAGCAGCGAAGGCTATTCACAGTCAGTTGTACTGAGTCAGTCAGCGAGTTGAGTTGTACTGTAACAGTCGCCGAGTTGTATTCAGAGCCAGCAACCAGTCAGTTGTATTGTGGCATTTGGAGTGTACTAAGTGTGATACTGCAGATAGCAGTAATCGTAAATCTGTAATTTTGGTGATTGTAAGTGCGAATGTGAAATAAAATTCGCTACATCGAATACATCGAGAATTTATTTGTCGCGATATAAGCCCGATACGCGACAATATATAATACTAAAAGGTCACTGGTGTGATATTGTTATGAATGTTCACGGCCCATCAGAAGATAAAATTGATGACATAAAGGGCAGGTTCTATGAAGAACAGGAACATGTATTTGATAAATTCCCGAAGTACCCTATGAAAATTTTGTTAGGAGATTTCAGTGCCCAGGTATGGAGGGAAGACATTTTCAAACCAACAGTTGGGAATGTTGCATGAAATTAATAATGATAATGGAGTTAGAGTAATAAACTTTGCCACATCAAAAAATCTTACTGTCAAAAGTACAATGTTCCTACATCATTCATTTTTATCTGTCGGAACCATGGAGGCAAACCTTTCTGTAGTACCTTTCAAAGTAGCTTTCTCCTCTGTCCTGTTTGGTGTTTTGACAAAAACTGTGAAGTTCTTTTTTGCCTTTCTTTTTCCACTGGGTTTTAAGATCTGCTACTGGTAATAGTAATTGACTATCTCTGCCTTCTTTGATTGCTTGCTTTGCCTCCAAGTCAGCCCTCATTAACTTCCACTCCGAAGTGCCTTGGGATTCAGTAAAATTGGATTTGTTTCCTCGCGATTCCAGTCTCTCTATTTTATCTTTTAGCATGTGTGTAATGTGCGATGTGTTGCTTCTTATAATGGGGTTACTAATGCTTTTTAACACGCTTGCCAAGTCCAAGAAAATCATGAAGTTTTGCTCAGATTCTATTTTTTCAATGATATCTAGTGTTTTGGCAATTGCTAATGCTTCCACTGTGAATATGGACGCTATCTTAGATATCTTAAATTTCATGCTTCGACCATTTTTATATTTATTGATGCAAATTCTACGAATGGTTTGTCCCCAACTTTTGAGCTACATTTGCTGGTTCTCCTTGGAAAATCTTGTTGAATTCCTTGTTGTGATCTTCTGCTTCCTTTATTTGTCTTCCCTCATCGAAAGATACCCTGGCCTTGTAGAAGAGGTTTCCGTATGTGTAGTTCAAGGCCAGGGAACAGTTCCCTGATTGGATTAAATGACTGGTAGGGGTTACCTCTTTGTAATATTCACTGATGAGTGGTTGTTCATTTTATCCTCTCCCTGGATTGTCAAGTAGAGCTGATAGTTCTTCCAGCAGCTGGATCATTGAATGGTTGGTTGACATTTGCTTCTGCTAACATTACATTGGTCGGGTTGCTACTCCTGTAGCCCAGTGCTCCACGTATTGCCCTATATTGTATCTTCTCAAGCTTCTGTGCTTGTTTCTTCTTAAGTTTATGGAATAAAAATGCTCCATATTCCATCCTTGACCTTACAGGTGCCTTGTAGAGTCTCATTAAAATTACAGGGTCTGCTCCCCACCAAGCATGCTTCACACAGTTCACGGTTTTCATCTGGTTTTCGCATTTCCTAACTATTGTGTTTATTTTGTCCTCCCATTCAAGGTTAGATTTTAAGTGCAGACCTAATAATTTAATTGATTTGACAAGAAACCTTTTCTCCTTGTACCGTGATCTCCCTCTCTCCATCACTTGTCCCTTTTCTATCGAAGATACACAGTTGACATTTTTTTGGTGCTATTTCCAAACTACTTTCCTTTAAATAAGGTTCAGTGCTTTGTATGCTCTTTTCCACTTCCGATACGCCAATTCTGCTACATCTGTTAACTGAATAAACTGCCACATCATCTGTGTATTCGAGGAGTTTGCAGTTCTGGTTGATTTTGGATTTCAGTCCTGTCATATAAAGCGAATATAAGGTTGGACTCAGAACACTACCCTGCGGTAAGCCTTTGTATGTCCAATCTTTGAGATCTACCCATCCATAGTTTGCCTCTAATTCCCTCGCGGAGACCAGGTTAAATACAGGCTAACAGGTTTCCCGAGAAGCCTACTGCTTTGAGTCTATCCATAAAAGTGCTGCAGTCGACGTTGTATGCGCTTTTAACATCTATGAATAAGGCCGATACTGGGTTCTGTTCTTCAAATGCTTTTATTATTTCAGTTGTTAGTATTGCTAGGTTGTCTGTGCAACCTTTGTTTCACCGAAATCCGTATTGTGTTACTGAGAACTTCTGATTCTTTTCTAGCCACCAGGAGATTCGCATGTTTATCATTCGTTCTAGTACCTTGCACTCGCATGATGCCATGGATATAGGTCTTACATTTGTTTTGTCTCTTTTAGGGATAAGAAATACTCTATATTTTTTTCCAGTTGTCTGGGAACACTCTTGCTCTTAAAATATCGTAAATTTCTAGCAGGATTTCTAAACCTTCATTTGGCAAATTGCGAATTATGGCGTAGTCTATTCCATCTGGTCCCGGGCTCGATTGGATTCTGAGGTCTTTAATTGCAAAGTTCAGGTCCTTAATTGTGTACTCTTGAGTCCAGGAATGGATCCTGATTTTCATGATCGAATGCTGGTGCTTGATTGGGTTCATTCACTTCAAAAGTCATTTTGCAGAATTAACTAGTTCTTTATATTCTTGTTCTCTTTCTGTCTTGTTGAATCTATATTTTAATCTTTTCATTCTATCCCAAATGTACGATGGGTTCGTGAATTGATTTATTCCCTCGCAGAAAGTTTTCCAGTGCTCTTGTTTGATTTCTCTGTCTATTTTTTTTTGTGATAATTACTGCCCTTTTGTATTCCAAAAATGTCTCTTCAGTTTTACAATATTTCTGTTTAAGCAATTTGGCTTTTCTAATTCTGATTACCTTATCAAATTCTCTGTTCCACCATATACACTCTGGTTGTTTTTCTCTATTTCCTATTTTTCCTTATCCTACATTTCTGAAGTTGTTTTTACTTTTCTTTTAGGAGTGGTCTCTGCTAATTTTCCTTTAATTATCTGGACTAAATTATCATACCCTTCCTTTACATCCCTCTCTCTGTTCCATCCACCATGCGTTTTGACTTCCATGATTTTTTCTTTAACATTTTCCATGGAGACAGTCCAATCAGTGTGTTTACTGTGCAATCTAGAAACTTTTTGCTGCCTTTCCCTGGCTCTGTTTGCCATTATACTCGATGAGAATTGGATAATGGTCGCTATACCAAGGGTCTGTTCTAACCTTCCGGGTGTATAACAGTGCTGATCTTGGGTTCACAGAAGTTAGGTAGAGGGCTGCCTTGGATCCTGTGACATCGGAGACCTGTGTCGGGGAGCTGTCTTTTAGCAATTATGTTTCTTTCCAATTCAGTGATGCAGTGGTACAGGTTGTTGCTGGTTGTACAATTCTTCAAATTACCCCACGAATGATGATGGCCATTAAAGTCTCCACCAATCAAGAAATTTCCTTTGAATTGTGTGAACATTTTTTTTCCATACTCTCAGCTCGATTTTCATGTTTGGCTGCTTGTAACATGACACGATTAATATTTTATCTTGGCCTGTATATAGTTCAATTGCACATGCTTCAATTTTGCTGTCACCATCAGATAAACCATTCTTACACAAATATTTCAGCTTGTTACGTATAAAAATAGCAACTCCACCACCTGACCTTTTGTTCCTTTTTTTTCTCACCACGTCAGACCCTTTCAGGTATACACTTTCTGCTTCACCAATCCAGGTCTCTGATAGCATTACGACATCTATGTTTTGGCTCCTCTGTTGGAATTCCTTCTTAGGCTCCTACAGTTCCACTGAACTATCTGCTTCACCAGGCCAGGTCTCTGATAGCATTATGACATCTATGTTTTGGCTCCTCTGTTGGAATTCGGGGAATTTTATTGTGATCGTGAAGCTCGACGGCTTTTCATAGGTGTCTGACCATTGCTTTGGCGTCTCCGGAGTTTATCACTAAATTGATTATTTTAACCAACACATTCTTGAATTCGTCCTCCATCTCAGTGGACTCCAACTCATCTAAAGATTTCTCTAACACTGCCTGGTCTTTAGAGTTGTTCCTTTGCTCAGTCCTGTTTGAACTCAGTTCAGATATTTGAGTCCTGCTGTTATCCGTGTTCATCTTCCATTGACTTCTCTCCGGATTCCATCCAATCATTTCGCTCGGGACTTTATGTTTTCACTTTTCTCAATAGTATCCCACTCCTTTTGTCTACTTGGCATTTCGAGAAAGGGGAAGTTCCTCATATTTGGTTCAGCGTACCCTTGGGAGCTTCTAGCACCTAAAGGGAATGCATGGCTCGACCACTTTTCTACAGTTTTTAAAAAATCCAACATTTCTATGGGCCATAATTTGATTGATTTCTTTCTGTTTTTTAATTACAGGGCATCGCTCGCTGATTGCTCTGTGGTCCCTGTTAAAATTTATGCACTTATTTATACAAGACCCTTCATGTTTTGCATCTCCACATGAGAAGCATTGTTTTCCTTCATACAGAATTTACTTATGTGGCCGAATCTGCCACATTTATAACATTGTTATACTGTTGTAACAAACGTAGTAACTTCATGCTGCAGAAATATACATGAGGGGGCATTTCCTTGGTTCTAAACATCAGACTGCCCTTGACTCTTTCCATACCAATCTTTCTTTGTTTGTCTCTTTGACTCTCATCTTAAGTCTGACTGCGTCAATTACATAGAAAGGTATGGGATGTTTGTTCTGATTGTTCAAGTTGAGCTGTCGCATCAAATTTTCTAATTCCATATCCCAAGGTACATCTTTAATGACTCCCTTTTTAAGAACCATATATCTCGATATGTATGCAGTTAGCCCTTCGTTTTGAATTATGGGGCTGTCCAAAACTTTGCTTCTTTTCTTTTTGAGAAGGTCACTTCCCAGATAAATTGAGCATAGTGTCTAATGGATTGGAACCTGATCTTAGATTTAGACATAACATTGAAGATGTCAAATTGACCCCACTTCTTTACCTTTTCTCTTTCCACTGATGGGGTATCAGGCTTCTTGACCTTTATGTGGATGCTGTATGGCCCTTTATCGTACATATTGAAACGTAGGTCACTGAATCTTCCATTTCTATTGCTCTTGAAATCTTCTCCTAGGTCTTCCTTTCCATTGTTTCTACCTTCATTTCCGAGGTTTTGTGCTTCAGACTACCTGTTGAGTTGCTCCTTCTTCCGCCCTTTCCTTGGCTTCATTATGATTCTGCGATTTCTTTAAATTTTGGTGTCTATTAGTACTCTTCTTTACGTCATGGGTTACCAATTTCCTTGGTTTTTACGGCTTCTAACAGTGCTAAATTGGGCCATCAGTTCCTCTTCTGATGACAATTCAGGTCCTGTTTTCCTGCAACCCTCTTCTTTTGTGTAACAATCTTATTCTTTAACTTTGCATGATCCATGTCTTGCATCACCACTTCTTACCCAGCTTCATCATATATTTCTACTTCTTCCATTTCTGGGCCACTCATTCTATATTGGGAGAGTCCACGGTCAGAAGCATGTGGACTTCTGGCCATTGTATTTTTGCCTGAACCCCGCACTTTACGAGTACTTGTCACTCTAGGTAGAAAACCAAATAAAATTCAGCAGAATACAAAAATTAATTATTGTATTCTATCACCACCATATTAAACCGCAAACCACGAGTTTCTTCTCAGAGCACAAACAAATTCACACCTGATCTCTTTACTCCACCATAACGAGAAGTCGAATCATGTTGACAGGAGCTGATGCAAATGCGCGAGCCCCATCTAGTGGCACACTATGTGGCAACACTTCCACAGGAAGATCAGGTGATGCTGTATGCAGAATTCTTGACTGATATCACAGAATCTGGCGAGCGGGAGTTAGCTCTTGCAGCAGCAGAAGATGCAGACCTTGACATTGAAACAATTACTAAGACAGTGGTTGAAAATATCCGGTAATTATTTCTATAATTCCTAAACACGTAGTATAAGTAACTCCAGGGAGGAGAGTCCTTTCTTAAGAAGCTAACAGTAATGTAGCTAGCCTGGAAGTTTGTGGTGCTTTGCAGAATATACAGGCTGATCACTTTGTTCACGAGAACCCAGGTCTGGTTCCTATAATGAGCTTTATGAATCCAACTTATGCTCTTATGACCTGCTTCTTTAAGATCAGATCTGTGTATTGCTAAAAGAAAGCAAAGAAGTCGTTAATTGTGAAACAGTAATATCCCATAGTAGTAATGTACAGGATGTCAAAAGGTTGCTCCAGTGTTTTAGGAGGCTATATTTTCTTAATCATTGTATATGTTAAGAACAATGCTGTAAATGAAAGTTAATCAAAAAAGTTTCTTTTAGTAAATTAGTGTGTCCTTTCCTTTGTGGCACAACAACTGTCTAGCTGTTAGATTTATTTCAGCCCATACTTGTCTTGACATCTCTGGAGTTACAGTTTCAACAGCTGTAGTGATCTGCTGTGTGAGTTCATCTAAGTTGTCCACCCATATGTGGCACTTTTGACATAATCTGGTGCTCACAGGGGCTGTGTGATAGGGTCTCACTTCCTATCAAGTGTCCAGTAAATCTCATTGAGTTCATCGCCAACAGTGTTGCTCATTCTTGCTAAAATCTTCATCTTCTTGAATTCTATACCTGTGAATAATTAAAGAAATGAAGAAAATCATATATATTATAGGGATCAAGCTTTTATAAATGTGTACCCTAATGTAAACTATAAATGCTCTACAAATAAAGAAATAGAGAATATAATAAAATCTCTAAAAGAAATACTGATGTGGATATGATGAGATATCACCCATTATTGTAAAAATAAGCTTGCCATTTATAATTTCACCTATAAAGTATATATGCAATAAAATGTTAAGGGGAGGAGTTTTTCCTGATGGACTAAAATATATGATTATAAAACCCTTCTATAAGAATGGTGTTATATGGGATGTGTCTAATTCTAGACCTGTATCTAACTTTTAACATCTTTCTCAAAAATATTTGAAACTATGTAATATTGTGACATGTCTAACCATTGCTGGGCAACGGGAGGTGGAATGATTTACCATGAAGACACCATTGAAAAATGGTCAGTTGCCAAGTTATGCAACAGTGGAAACGAGGTTACTCAACAGTAAGGAAAGTGGTGTTTCTCCGAGCCAAGCTGAAATGTGCTGGTTGCTCTGCAGCAATAAACAACTCTTGGCAGCGTTGCCCAGCAATGCCTTTGTAAACACGGCGTTACACAGCAGGGAAGCCCGTGCAACAACTGTTGCTAGGCAGTCGGTAAACACGATGTTACGCAGCAGTGGTACCTATCACGTAACTGTTTTCCGTGTTGTCTGTGCCGAGCCTAAATAAGGAGCAGCGAACACTATTCAGGAGTGAGTATTGAGCCAGTTACTAGAGAGAGAGTAACCAGTCAGTTGCAGTCCAGCATTCGCCGAAGTGAATGGGAGCAGGAGAAGTAACTGTGATACTGCAGATGGAAGTAATTGGGAAACTGTGAATTGTGTGGGTGTAAGAGCGAATGTGCAATAAATTTGCTATATCCAATATGGCTTGAAGTTATTTGTCGCATGACATATACCCTACATGTGACAATTTGGTGTCAGAATTGGTTTACAAACTTGAACACGCTTCGCTCTAGGAAGAAGTATTGAATTTATGAGTACATTGAATGTTATCCTGCCAAAAAGAAAAAAGAAAATGGAGTAGCAAGACATTCAACTAATAATTGAAATCCTGAAAGAAATTAGGGCCAATAGGAATGCCTGGCAGAAGAGACGACAGCCTGCCAAGATGCAATGCAGACAAATCCAAGAGAAAAAGAGGATGTAGTGAAGCGACAGAAGATTCCTAACGAAGAAGAAGAGACAATGGCCTGCAAAAAGGTGGAGGCACATCTAGCAGAAGAAAGGCCGACCTCAGTGGACAGGAAACCTGAGACGGCAGAAGAAAAGATCCCCATAGGAGACACCGTAGTGAAACCGGTCAAAGGATGGAAGAAGCGGCATAAGGGCAAAAATCAAGCTGCAGGGTGTTGTGGAGAGCCAGAGGAACTGACCCGAGGAGATTGTGGATCCCGGATGAAGTTGGCTGCCACCTGCAGGAAGATGTCCTGCTGTACAACAGTGGCATGGCGCTAGAGGAACATCTAGGAAATTTCAGCTCAAAGAAATTGTGGACCATGGAAAGAAGTGACAGCCACAGGAATAAAGATTACACTCTGTGCAAGACACAAGCGTATGGGACAAACGAAGAATAAGGTCGCACCAGAAATCACCAAGAAACGGATGTTTGGGAAGAGACTGTGGAAAGGCCCGGAGTGCAACACTGGCATAAGGGACCAAGGCCTGAGACAGCAACCACAAGGCAAAAATGGCGTGGAGGACCTAGGTGGCGGACAGCCACGATATCTGAAGAAACCAGACCTGATTACGTACAAGTGGAGAGCATGGCAAATTTTGACATGAATTTCATGAAAACTACAAGACTGGAGATTGCCAGGCGAATGGTCAGAGCTCCTGTTTTGTTACGAAAAACAAGAAAATGTACCTTGTGGAGGGATAGGCCCCCTCCAAAGCAGAAAAAGAAACAATGGATCGAGGAGGAGCCAGTAACGTAGAAGCACTGACTTCCCCAGAGAGAGTGAATGTGCGATGGATGTATGTTAGGGACGAATGTGATACAACTGGATCTCCTGACAAGTTAACAGGAAACCACTCGAGACGAGCTGGTCTTAACAAGGGAGCGGATATAGCGGTTGAAGAATGGACAACAGGAAGAAAGGAAACACTGAGTCAGAAAAAAAAAAAGATAACATTGCAAGCATAGCCTCAGAAGGAAAGGACTGGTGATGCACTGTTAGGCTATTCGGGACAAACAGCCTTAGGAAGGGAGCAGTGTGACATGTCTAACCGTTGCTGGGCAACGGAAGATGGAACGATTTACCACGAAGACAGACCCTTGATAAACAGTCGGTTGCCAAGTTATGCAACAGTGGAAATGAGGTTACACAACAGTAAGGAAATCAGTGTTTCTCCGAGTTGAGCCAAGCTGAAGTGCGCTGGTTGCTACGCAGCAATAAACAACTCTCGGCAGTGTTGCCCAGCAACAACTTTGTAAACACGGCTTCACACAACAAGGGAGCCCATGCAACGACTGTTGATAGGCAATTGGTAAACAACATTACGCAACAGTGGTACCTATCACGTAACTGTTTTCAGTGTTGTCCATGCCAAGCCTAAATAAGGAGCAGCGAACACTATTCAGGAGTGAGTATTGAGCCAGTTACCAGAGAGAGAGTAACTAGTCAGTTGCAGTCTAGCATTCGCCGGAGTGAATGGGAGCAGGAGAAGTAACTGTGATACTGCAGATGGCAGTAATTGGGAAACTGTGAATTGTGTGGGTGTAAGAGTGAATGTGCAATAAATCTGCTATATCCAATATGGAGTGAAGTTATTTGTCACTAGACATATACTCAGCACGTGACAACATATACAAGAACTTTAGGACATCTTAATAAGTATAATATCCTAAGTACTGATGAATATGGTTTTAGGAGAGGACTAATACTAGGTAATGCAATTTACAAATTGAGTACACAGATTTTAAATTCTGTGAACAACAAACAGCTAGTGGCAGGTGTTTTTGTGATCTGGAGAAAGCCTTTAACTGTGTAAATCATGATATCTTGTTGTCCAGACTTAAATTTTATTGTATTACTGGGAAAGATCATGCACTTTATGAATCTTATTTAGGTAACAGATAGACCGCGCCATAGCTCAAGCGGTGAGTCGCTGGCTTCCCACTGCGGCGGCCCAGGTTCAATCCAGGGTCCAGTCAGGTGGGGTTTGTGGTGGACAAAGTGGCACTGGGGCGAGTTTTCTCCAAGTACTTCAGTTTCCCCTGCCAATCTTCATGCCACCAAATTCTCCATCATCATAATCACCCAGGGCAGGCTACAGTAGGCCAATCAGTGGTCGTCATGCTGAGTGGACCCAGTTGGACTCCACCCCCCACTAAGCAGATTTAAAAAAAAAGTAACAGATATATTAGAACAGTAATACATAAAAGTGATGTGAGTACAATATCCTCAGATTGGCTTAGTATTAGACAGGGAGTGCCGCAAGGGTCTGTATTAGGACTTTTGTTGCCTAAAATATTAAATAAATTTTCTGTGCCTATAATTTTTGCTGATGATACTAGCCTCTTATTTTCACATTCTAATAAAAATGATCTAAACAGGAATATTCTTAACAATTGAAATCTTAAATGGATGGTTTAAAGCTAATAAATTATTTTTAAACTTTAACAAGACACATTGTATTCAATTTAAGACTAAGACAATAATGTCAGATACTTTTGCAATAAATCATAATAATAAGTTTATCAAGAGTACCCTCAGTACTAAATTCTTGGGAGTCATAGTTGGCAGTGCCTTAATATGGAAGAATCACATTGATTTACCTTTAAAAAAATTAAGTTAGGCTTGTTATGTAATTAGAAATATGAAATATTATATGTCTATTTAAGCTCTAAGTGTAATCTATTATTCCTTTTTTCACTCCTTAACTCTTTGACTGGCGCGAAGGGTATTTAAATCCCACCCCTGTCCTGGCAGACCCTTTAAACCTTATGTCGCTAAAATGCATGTAGTTACTTCCTAAACAACTTCAACAAAAATTGGTTTTTAAAAACGAAATTTTCAGGAACTAATTAAAAGACAATATTTTATGCAATAAATGCCTTTCCATACCTCTTTAGTAGTTTTTCTTCGTGTGATAAACATTGAAACATGAAAGTTTGCAGAGAGCCACACCACAGCCTGCACACATGACACTTGTTTCTTTTCTAATCTTGTGCTTAGCACTCACGCGACACTTTCTCAGGGCACCATTCTTCTTGTTACTGGGAGGAACATGGACCATTTTGTGAATTTTCAGG